TTCTGTGCATTACTCCTGATAGATCCGTGCTTGTTGCAGGTTTCGTTGTGGGATTTGAGATTTGCATTCTTGGGGCCCCTTCGGATCTGGGTTTTGAAAGAACGCGTCTTGGTGATTTCATCTGGCGGTTTATGGACTATTGAAGAAGCTAAAATGGTGAAGATGGAACTCATGAGATGGGTTCCCTTGGTCTTGGTTGTTGTTTTTCTAGTTTTGGTTAATGGGTCGTTTTCCTTATACACTCCTCCTAATAGCTATCTAATTGCATGTGGTTCTTCTCAAAACATCACCTTTCAAGGACGCACTTTTGTTCATGACTCACAGCATTCTTCACTTGTAATGAAAACTGGGAATTCTTTTGTTGCTAGCACCAATTCTAGTGCCCCTTTTCCCATTTACCAATCGACTCGGGTTTTCACCGAGAAAACTTATTATAGGTTTGAGATTCAGCAAGAAGGTAGGCACTGGGTTAGGCTATACTTTTCCCCTCTTCCAAACTCCAGCCACAACTTGACTTCAGCTTCTTTGACAGTGGTTACTGATGATTTTGTACTCTTGAGCAACTTCACCTTTAGGAAATACAATGGTTCTTATATGTTCAAGGAGTATGTTGTGAATGTAACCTCTGATGCATTGGTTGTGACCTTCATTCCTTCCAATGGTTCGGTGGCCTTTGTGAATGGAATTGAAGTTGTGTCAATGCCAAATGAGCTGTTTGTTGATCAGGCACTCTCTGTTAACCCGCCAGCACCATTCAATGGACTTTCTGACCTTGCCTTTGAAACTGTTTATCGGTTGAATATGGGGGGTCCTTTGATTACTTCTGAAAATGACACCCTGGGTAGGACTTGGCTGAATGATAGAAAATACCTTCATGTGAACAGCTCAGTCCTTAATGTATCGGTGAATCCTTCAAGCATTAAGTATCCCGTGGCTGTTACACCTGAGACTGCCCCAAATTGGGTCTATGCCACTGCTGAAGCAATGGGGGATGCTAATGTAAATGATCCAAATTTCAACATCACTTGGGTCTTCAATGTGGATCCAAATTTCTCCTATTTCATTCGGGCGCACTTCTGTGATATTATGAGCAAGTCACTCAACAATTTAGTCTTCAACATGTTCATAAATTCTGACATAGCTCTTCAAAGCCTTGATCTCTCAAACATGACTAATGACTTGGCTGTGCCTTAATTCAAGGACTTTGTTGCCAATGCCTCTGCAGACTCAAACACTTTGACTGTGAGTGTTGGTCCAGATCCTGTGGCTGACTTTCCAAATGCCACTATGAATGGGTTGGAGATAATGAAGATCAGCAACTCGTTAAAGAGCTTGGATGGGCTTTATTCAGTTCACAGTCTTCTTCCAGGTTCACATTCAAAGAAAAGCATGGTAGGAGTAATTGTTGGTTCTGCTGTTGGTGCTGTAGCAGCTTTAGCAATAGCTGGTTTGTGTTATTGCTGCTTGGTGGGACGCAAATCAAAGTCATCCACTCAACAGGGCCATTCATGGCTGCCTCTGCCCCTTTATGGAAACTCTCTCACCATGACAAAAAATTCAACACTTTCACAGAAGAGTGGAACCGCAAGCTGCATTTCTTTAGCTTCATCAAATCTCGGACGGTTCTTCAACTTCCAGGAAATCCTAGATGCTACCAACAAATTTGATGAGAAGCTACTTCTGGGTGTTGGTGGTTTTGGAAGGGTTTACAAAGGAACGCTTGAAGATGGGACCAATGTAGCTGTGAAAAGGGGTAACCCAAGATCCGAGCAAGGGCTTGCAGAATTCCGGACAGAAATTGAAATGTTATCCAAGCTTCGCCATCGCCATCTTGTGTCCCTCATTGGTTATTGTGATGAGAGGTCAGAAATGATTCTTGTGTATGAATACATGGCTAACGGACCCCTCAGGAGTCATCTGTATGGAACAGAGCTGCCACCTCTCTCATGGAAGCAGCGGCTGGAGATTTGCATTGGAGCAGCAAGAGGCCTTCATTATCTCCACACCGGAGCAGCTCAAAGCATAATTCACCGAGATGTGAAGACAACAAATATCCTCTTAGATGAGAACTTTGTTGCAAAAGTTGCCGATTTTGGCCTCTCCAAGACTGGTCCTTCTCTTGATCAGACCCATGTGAGCACTGCTGTGAAGGGTAGTTTTGGTTATCTTGATCCTGAATACTTCAGAAGGCAACAGCTTACTGAAAAATCAGATGTGTATTCATTTGGGGTAGTGTTGATGGAAGTGTTATGCACAAGGCCAGCCTTGAACCCTGTACTTCCAAGGGAGCAGGTAAACATAGCTGAATGGGCAATGACCTGGCAGAAAAAGGGTATGCTTGATCAAATCATGGATCAGAATCTTGTTGGCAAGGTGAATCCTGCATCCCTGAAGAAGTTCGGGGAGACAGCAGAGAAGTGCTTGGCCGAGCACGGCGTGGACCGGCCGTCCATGGGAGATGTTTTGTGGAATCTTGAGTATGCATTGCAGCTTCAAGAGACATCATCAGCACTCATGGAGCCAGAAGACAACAGCACAAACCACATCACTGGAATTCAGTTGACACCCCCAGACCATTTTGATAACAGTGTGAGTATGATTGATGGGGGAAACTCTTGCACTGATGAAGATGCAGAAGATGCTGCTACAAGTGCAGTGTTCTCACAGTTGGTAAATCCTCGTGGAAGATGAGCTCTTGTGTTTCCACAATTCTGGCCAAAGGCCATCAAAGTAAGTGGCCATTCTGGCTTCATTCTGAAGGTTGTTTCTTATTTAGTTAATGCTTTTTGTAATCCATTTTTTCTCCACGAAATCAATTTACTTTGTAATATACTTGAATCATAGTGATGGGTGCCTTTAAGCTGGTCACTAATTGCATGCAAGGTACACCATAAAACTCTGTTGTACTAAGTATAAACCATTTACGAGTTCTGCTCCTCAAGTTCTTCTCACACCTTACAATATATGAAGCTTATATAAGTTCTTTCTGCCATATGGTCAGTTAAATTCCTTTCTTTTTCACTTTTCAAGGAAAACGTTTAGATGCTCTTCACTATTTCTCATACCTCCCAAAGTGAGTTTTAAAAAGTTTATTTAATTTAACTCAAGATCTGATCGATTACCTACTTATACTATAAATTGGTCTTGGTCTTATTTTTAGTTGATTGTGAAATTTCCAACGATTATTTTCACACTCTAATGCATTGAAAATAACTTACCAAATATTTTGTAGCATAAGTTTTAAATATTGTTTATTTTACCGGTGGACGCTTAATTTTACTCAAACATGGTTTTGATTTTAAACCATACATCTACATCCAGTGTGGAAAAAAGTAGGATTTGACCAAGTGGATTACGAAACACAAGTGACAATTAAAAAAATAAATAAATGTGTTTTTAGATTTTAAATTTTAAAGCGAAAATAAAATTTGATATTGTTATAAACTTTTAATTGAGTTAAAGATTTTTGACACGTCGATTTAAGTTATTTATATTATTTAATATGCTTAAATTCAAATAAAAATTTAAATACATTTTAATATATAATTTTTTTAACACAAATAAATTAAAGTAACTATATTATTCTTTTTTAAATTTAGGTAAAGTTTGGAAAATAAATTTTACTTTAGAATTTAAAGATTACGAATATATTTAATATAAAAATATCCTACACTTATTTTCACATAAATGACATATTTCAGATTGCTTTTTAACTCATTAGTATTTGATATCTAATACTTTCGTGTCACTTAAAAGTCAGACTAATAACAATCTAAATATTACTTTTTTTTTTTCAATATTCTCTAAGATATCTAATATCTATTAAAGAAAAAACTGTAAACTATTCAAAATAAATAATATTTTCAATACAGTAATTAATTTTAATAATATTATCTTAATAAATTTATGTCAGAGCACTTATTTTCACATAAATTACGTCGTTAGTTTTGATTTGATTTCAAGCTTAGAATTTGTTACTGATTTTATTTTTAGTGAAAAATATGATCGATCAACGTAGAAAGCAGAGAGCGCGTGAAAGATACGAAACTATGGAGTGACGACATGAGATTTTCTGCCATATTCCAGTTGGTTACCATAAGTTACGTGACCTCAATTTTTTTCTTGTACTTTTCTCTTTCCACATGGTGTGTTTCTTTCTTCTTTTCTTTTTCCTTTTTTATTTGTTTTTATGAACTCGTGTGTCCATATTTAATTTGACCGGAGCAAAAATAATTTTCCTTTTGACGTTTTAGGAGAAAACTCGTAAGAAGTAAGGTTATGTTTGGTTCATGTTGCAGACTCTTTATGAGAATTGAATGTGTTTAATGGAGTGCCTTGATTATTAGGTTTATGGAAGATGTGTTAGAAGTTTCACGTTGATAGATAATGTCAACTTACAATATATAAGTGTGTTCAAATCTCATCTTATAAACTGATTTTGTGGAGTTGAGTTAGATTTAAAGTTCACTTAAACATACGATATTTGTTGTTTGTTGAATATGTTGTTCCACCCGCTATCAGGCCGTTACCACTTATTAATATCCTAGTTTCACGTTAGAGATGATGTCTACATCTCAGTGTAAAGGGGTGTGTTGGAAGTCTCAAGTCCCACATAAACTAAAGATAAGACCAATTTACAATATATAAATGAGTACAAAGAGAATAAAATAATACATGAAGGTTCTTATAGATGGTGGAAAGAGGTGGAAAGAGAAAAACAAACAATATATGTACAACCTAAAATTCTAACATGCAACATATTATAATATGCGTTAACATTAATTTAATATAGGAGACCACATTAACTTCTATTTAAAAAAAAAGATAAAAACTTAATTGATAGAGAAATATAAAAACATAACTGAATTCATAGGCCATAAATATATAAACCAAATTAATAATTAAATCTTTTCTATACTTTTTTTAGCGTAGTGAGTATAATCCATGATTGAGGAAGATACAATACAAGTTGTTTCATATTGTTTATTCACGTCCAAGGTAAATGTAATATAAAAAAAAACTCGTTTATGTCATCTTGCAAGCAATAAAAAGTAAAATCTAATAATTTTGCATAAATATTATATATTTAAATTACATTTAATTAGTTTAATTATATCATTTTGATTTCACAAAATTGTTTGTCTAAGATTTATATATTTGAAGGTTATAATTTGTATGCGTCATCTAAATTTTACATATGCTCAGTGCATTCGGGCAATAATTTTAAGCCATTTTATGTTACAAGGAATCAATAATTAACAATCAACTTTTAAATTTACCTTCGGTATTTGAAATTAGAATATGAAAAATATCAATTTAACGACTTTGATTTTGATTTCACATAAATGCTTGGAATAATTGCACGGAGAATTGAATACATGATAGAGCATAATCGATGTCTTGGGCATAATTAATGTCATGCATGAGATATAATATAGTTATGCCACCATCATGCACTACGCTATTCTTCCATTCAATTCTCCATATCATCCATCCTCCGTGCATTCCATTTTGTCAATACACATTAATAATCTTAAAATGTACTTAAACGATAGACTCTTTACAATTATACAATGAGGTAGACACAAATTTAAATACAATTATATGCATGTAATTTAATTAAAATTATCTAAATTTTGTCATTTCATAACCTTAGTCACCCTTGATATTTTTTCCTACTTTAAGAAAATACTAAGTAAATTATATGAAAAATAATTTTTTTATGTAATAAATAAAAAGTATTATAACGTGATAAAGATAGAGTGCCATTATAATTTCTTACAATTTACTATTCGCTTCTCATTTTTCATTTGGAAATTTTTTTATTGTAATTTCATTTTTTTAATTAGTATAGATAATATTTTACATGGCTTGAACTTAATTATTTAAATATATTAAATTTTAAATTATTTTTAATTTTATAAAACAATAAGTGTTTCTAGGCTTTAGGTAGTGATTCTTAATTCAATCGAAGCCATAGACCCCTTATTGTTTCGGTTAATAAAATAACCAATGTAATAATAAGTGTTTCTCTAGGATTAAATTTCTAAAAGTAATAGAGTCTGTTCCACATTTCTTCTTCGTTTCTCTGCTCTACTGCGCCGCTCTCCTCTCTTTGTCATCACTCTTCTCTTTTCATCTTCCATTTTTACAACCATCCTCTACATTTCTTCCATTTTTATTTTTCGTTTTGACATTGGTTTTGCATACAAGTACTCTTTGGATATGCACTTTGTGTGATGTTCGTTTTGTTTCGTTTCACCACCAAACTCACCATCAAGGTTAGTTTCATTTTAGGTTTTTCAAACATAGTTATAGGTAAAATTGAGAGTGCTCAAGAGGACTCCAAAAGCCCTAAAAATTTGTTGGAAGGACAAAAAATCATGAAATCCCATCACAATAAAATTTAGCTCAAAATTCAAAGTCTAATTATTTTAAATATTTTTGCAAAGTATGAAAAAAAAAACAAAATAAATTTCCAAATAATAGAAAATACTGTTTTCTAGAAAGTGTAGATGGATTAGCTGGCTATGCAAGCTACCACGATATCATAAATTTTTTTACCCCAAATCCATATATAATAATGTGAAAACTGTTAACCAGAGTGAAAGTTAGAATGATTTAAAGATCTAGAATCCAAATAATTTTAAAACTTTAGATTCACACAAAATAAGGGCTCCTAGAATTTTTCTCTTGAAATAGAAGTTTGAAAGAGTGGTAAAAAAAAAATCATTCAAAAATAATAACCATAGGTATCAAAACCTAAACTCACAAATAAATAATTATTTGGAGCACTTTATTTCTCGGTTATGGATACTTGTTTTTATATGCAGATCTATTTTTGTGTTTATGGCTTTATGTGATATAGAATGTTTATAAAAATAGAACGATCATTTTTTTTAAAACATACTTTAGACTATGGTTGTGATAAAAATCGAGGTAAAAAAAATGGTCTATAGCCTCGGTTCTGGATTCAAGTGAGGCCATTGAATAATTTTAAGGGTCTACGACCTCAGTTGGAACCAGAACCGAGAAAATACACCCAATTTTATTTTTTTTGGTTTACTACTTCGAGTTTTCTAAACCGAGGGAAAATCGTAATATTTTTTGCATCGGTTTTTGAATCGAGGCCAAAAGTTTCACTTTTTTATCTAGCCTGAATATACCTCGATTTTGTAAATGATATCATAACTCGAAAAAACCGATGTTGTATCCCTTGGTTGCACTAGTGGTTGCTTTCTCTCTAAAAGACTTTGGACATATACATTATTTTCTTGGCATTGAAGTACACAGAAATGACAATGGAATGCACCTAAGGCAAACTAAGTACATAAAAGATACTCTGAAGAAGTTCAACATATAAAGACAATTTTAGCCTGTCCAACACCAATGATGACTGGTAGACAACTCATTATAGAAGGGGAACCAATGACCAATGCTACTTTGTACAGACTCAGTCAATATATAAGATATCTTTAAGGTACAATGAACTTATGTCTACACATAAAAACCTTAAATGATATTGACATAATAGGGTATTCTGATACATATTGGGCAACTATTGAAGACAAATGATCAATGATAGGACAATGTGTGTTTTGGAGAAACTTGCTCTTGGTTCAAGAAAACAAAAGGTAGTGTCATGATCGAGTAGTGAATCAGAATATAGAGTCCTGGTTGACCATGTAGTTGAAGTGGCTTGGATTAGATCTCTGCTAATAGAACTAAAACTTCTAATGCTCAAAAAATCAATTATGTGGTGTGATAACTTAAGTGCCAAATTCTAATCTAGTCATGCACACACGGTCCAAACACATTATGATAAATGTGCACGTGATCAAGTCCTACAAAAGGAAAGTGGTCTATGTTCCTACTACTAATCAAATTACAAACTGTTTGACTAAACCTCTCACTCATACAAGATTCAACTTGTTAAGAGAGAAACTTGGCATAATTATGTCACCACTAGTTTGAGAGGGGCAGTTAGA